GGACTTTGCCATCTGTGCCCATGGGATAAATGTGTAGGTACATATCATATACAGTCACTGGGCAAATATTGTTTACTATTAGTCAAATATGATATTTGCCCATATATTTGTCTATATGTTTGCCTACATGACAAATCCATTTTTTCGTCGAGTGGTACGAAACCTCTATTCAGACAGTGGCCCGGTTTATTCTTGAAGATAATGATAATATAAAAATCACAAATCATGATTCCAGTTAAGTCCATGGGTATATATGTTACCCGTTCAACACGGGAATATGGAGAAACTAATTGATATGAGTGCATGGCACTTAATACTGAGCAGATATCGGATAGTTACACTCTATTGCCTTCAGACAGTTGTTAAAGTGTGTCAGTTTCTATATATTTCATTGTATTGACCCAAATGCCTCGACTGTCCCAAGGCAAAAAAGTGTAACTCCGATATCTACTATTGGTTCAACCGCTTGTTTCTGTGAATTAATTTCACGATACATCTTCTGTTGAGAAGATCAGATACACACTGTTACAGTGTAAGTCTGAATAGTAATGCTTCACTATAACTATGTGGTTGAGATGTTCAAGATCCTCAATAAATTGAGTACCTCAAACATCGACTAGATGCACTTCTAAAGCGATGAACTACTGTCCCCTATATAAAGATATACACTGTTACAGTGTAATCCACTAGTCAATCAAAGCCCCCACCCCTACACCCCCGGGACAGGACGTGCAATTTAACATTTATGTAGTGTTAAATTTGGCACCCCGGTCCCTGGGGAAATTTTTAGCTGTCAAAATTGCATATTTTAAGCTGCTGAAGTACGCGTTAAATTCCCAGTATACAGGTGTATTCATCTTGTTAAAAGCACGTTAACCCCGATCTCGCTGCGTTTTCCCCGCCCTCCCTGTCCCGGGGATCTGGGTCGGGGCCGGGTTTCAATAGGCCCTTTGCAACTCAGTAATCACGTGCTGATTAATTCACTGATTGCAAATGAATGAACATCTTGATTCCCATGGGTGAAATATACTGGTGAGCAAACAAACTTTCTACAACCTGTTTCGAGAGATCGTAATAAAACTACATTTCGTAACACACTGGATACACATGTTTTCATTCAGTTCTTTACAAGTAGCTAAAAAAATCATCAATTTAATATAAAAACAAAAATTTTGCATTCCAGTACAGACACGTGACCGTTAACTGCAAAGGGCCTGTTGACTATACTATATAATTTGTATTTGTAATTCAATTCAATTTGTAATTAAAATTCACTAGAGATAATATACAATGTTCGATCAGTTGACATAATATATGGGCATGTTCGATCAGTTGTTCCTCAAATATAGAGTAATGCACTTCTAAGGTTTTCTTTTCCGATGATTTGTTATCATTGATCAATGAAGTCCTAGCTATAGATGATTTGTACTAACAGGTCACGTGACCCTACCCCCTTTAAACGAGCAGCTGTGTGAAAATGAACATCAGAAATGAAAAGAGCACCTTGATATTAGTGATCATGAACACGAGAGGACGAAGGTTAGGCTGAAAATGTTGACCGAATCGAGAAATGGCATGTAGAATGAAATATTTTAGAAGGATTCAAAGGAAAAAGTGTTGGCTTGAAAGTTCTTTGCATTTTTCCTGTTTTGCTTGCTTATGAGCTGAAACTCAGCCATGCTCGATCCTACTAATGCCGAGGTGTTCTTTTCATTTCTGTTGTTTATTTTGATATTACTTCTCTTTTTAAGGGAGGTATGGTCACGTGACCTGATAGCGCAAGTCGTTCATTAGAAGTGCGGAGAACACATGATATACATACTGTATATATATATATATATATATATATATAGTCCTAAACAAGAGAAAATGAACTAAGAGAAGGAATCCCCGTGCCCCATCATGTGCACACTTTGATGCTATTTTTAGAATCATTGATGCTATTTTTAACTCGTTACCATGCCCGCGCGATAATCATGCTTCCTTTAATGCCTCGTTTTAGGACACGAAAAGCGACAAAAACACAGGCTTTTGTTTACTGCAAGACTAGAAGCCGCCTACCCTCAAAAAATCAACCAATCAGGTTCTTCGCTCAAAATATCTCCAAGCTAAAAATAGCATCAAACTGTGCACATGATGGTTACAAGGCTATATAGGTAGGATTCCTTCTCTTAGTTCATATTCTCTTGGTCCTAAACATATAGGCTCTTCCAATGGAAGTACTTCAGTGACGCACTGCTTCAGCTTTAGGTTATGACGTGTATCAATACACTAACGTGTAAAAGACAAATGAAGGTTCAAATGGAGCATCTATATATTAGAAAAAATCGTTAAGATCTTCGCTTTCTCTCATAGCAAAGTAATACATGTCGTCGCTCATGACTGGCGAGAGGGGACTCAAAGAGACGTCATCGATGTCATCGAGAGATGCATCATGGGGACTATGTGATGGAGTCTGCGGGGTGTCTTGGAAATTTACTGGTGCGATGGGAACGTTTGGATTATTGGATGTGTTCACTACTTGTGGTTGGTCTGGTTGCATCGAAGAAGGCGAAAACATCGATTGCAGCAGATACATTGAAAGACTTTCCCCTTGCTGGGCATCATTCAAGATGTCGCTGACTGAAATCCCGTTACTTTTATCTTGGACGAATGCCGGTTCGGATTGGTTCACCATCAAATCAAAAGCTAGTTCTTCAAGTGAGATCTTCTGCTTAAGACTTGCTAACTGCTCCAAGTAACGCATTTCTATTGACTGCTGATCATGTGACCTTTGTGGGCCTGTAGTTGGCTGAAAAAAAGTGCTGTAGCTGTCGACATGCATGGGAGACTCTTGAAGCAACATATGCTCATCAAAAGTAAAACCTTGTTTATCCACAGGGATACCATCGGCAATGCGTGCAAGCATTGAGGTTCCCCACGTATCGTCTATGTCCATTTCCTGTTGAAACCGATCCTCAGCGCTGATTGGGTCATTCGGGTCGTATCTATAGATACCACTGTAAATATCACTTTGAAGCTCCCTGGTGTTAATTGTATCGTTGTCTTGGTTACGGTAGATCCATTTGACTTGGGGCGGCTGTTGCGCCCCTTTAAGATACAGTTGAATTTTTTGCTAAATTAAAAAAAGAAACCGAGTTTTAATCCCAAGCTAAACAAGAAGTGTAGGTTTCCAAAAACATGTGCTGTAGAAACATCTGCAAACATTGCTTACATGCGGCGCATACGTTTTCTTCTCGGAAACAAAATTTGTCACGCATAGCAATCGTGGCTGACCCGGGAAAACATCGAGGAAGCATGTGCGAGGTAAACAAGTTACTTGAAACATGTCTCCTCGTTTAGCCAGGGCTATTAGTATACAACCATCCAAAACTAGATCTTGTTATCAAGGATAGCTGAATGGCGAAAAAAAGCTATATGTTTCATGAGTAGCAAATATTGTCTAGGCGAGGAGCTGAAGAACCATGTGTTATAGTTATCTACATGTGGACTACTAACCACTTACTACATACCTCTTTTGGGTAGGGTACCTCAAGCGTGGTTCCTGGAGATGCCTGAATAATGATTATAGAATCCCCGTGAAAACTTTCAATGGCTTCGATGTCATCTAGGGTCACATACGCATGCGTGCCATTAGTTAAGTTAAATTTGCTAAAAATAATCTAAAATAACTTTGACCAAAGAATTATAGAATCCAAACTTCCTTTGGAAAATGCTTTCCTGTTACAGACAACGTGATGAATTTCTTTGCATGGGTATGTAATATTTATTTTTTCACTAATAGCACTAGCACTAGGTTGAAAATCTACAACATCATCATTACCGACGCCGATACAGTAGATACTTAGCGGAACCTTGGAATCAACTTGTTTCGCACTCCTCGATCTTTTCTACTCCTCTACTCTCTTCTTTTCTCTCGTTTCGCCGGTTATATGAACATTTATATATACAGAATATATATGTACGTATGACGTGTATGTGTGGAATATGTGAATATAGATATTATGCACATACATAAACATACGTATATATTCGTAACTTATTTGGATCTAAGTTGATGTGCAGCTTTGTACAAAACGCCAAATAAAATATGTCTGTCTGTCTGTCTGTCTGTTCGTCTCGCCTCGACTCCTGTCCACTTCTCTGATCTCCTCTCCTAGCTATCCCGTCACGTCTCTCTTTTCCCCCGGGGGGTACTCCGCCAGAATTTGGGTGGGTGGGTAGAGGTGTTCCGCTGGGATTCTGAAAGGGGTACCCTGGTCATGGCAAAAAAACTCAAATTTGTGACCTTGTATATGATAAAAGATATAATTTATTGCACTGAGTTCCTGTTTCATTATCATGCCATCTTGCGTATTGTTTATTTATTATTTTATTTATTTATTTATTTTTTGACGACCATAATAACCAGTTTCGGTCAATACGAAAGTAGAAACCCTGAATATGACAGGAAACTCAGGAAGAACTTGGAACTTGAGTGAAAATGCATACCCTGTTTATGACAAGAAGCTCGATAAACCATACCATATTCAGCGGATCATCCCCGTATCGTCCATATATGGGAGTACCCCCCCTCCCCCCCCGCTCTCGTTTCATTAGGTTTCGCTCGTCTTTAGTCCTCTCCCCTTCGCCACCCTCCTGCTCTCATACATCAATCCGAAGAATGTCAAATCTAATAAAAGGATATTTAGCAGTGTCTGGATTCCTAGTAATCAACTTCATCTGTGCACGACAATCTTCTATATGTTGCTTAAGAGTATTTTCCTTGGACTGCAGCTTTGCAATCTCTGCTCGAAGGCGCATCAAGTGCTGCCGATTGGTTGTGAGTTTATTGCCTTCTCTACACACTCCGCTGAAGGAATAGAAGAACATTTCATGTTAAAATCAAAATTAATTTGAGAATAATAAGAAACAAAAACAAAACAAAAAAAAAAAAAAAAAAAAAAAAAAAAAAAAAAAAAAAACCAAACAGATTTTCTCAATGGAATGCGAGATCTTCATCTTGTATCAATTGCTTCAGCACAAGGCAAGAGGTGCTGAGTAGGTGGCCAATTACATAACAGGCTTACACGTGACGGTGGAAACAGATTGCAATCTGACCTTCAAAATCAAGAAACATACTACTTATAGCGCTCGTTATCTTTGCGCAAGCTTAATTTTATCCAGCTACTGCGAACGAAAACTACCCTTGTTGGTCAGCGCACAAATGTAAAATGGCATGAACACTACGGTTCTCAGTCATTTTGTTTTGTCATTACCCATAAGCCTCTCTTGCATGACTTCAAATCAAAATAATATTTGAATGCAGGCTTTAACTGCCTTCGAATAGGCAAATGGAGCGCTAGCTTTTTTGTTCAGCTTTTCTCTTGTCTTCCTCTTGAAGTGATTACTCATGAGGAGTGGGGGGTGGGGACGGCAATTCCCTACCACAAACTTAACAAAGCCCTGATCCCTCGTTAACCCCCCTTATGTCAAAACATATATGAGACGAGAAAGTAAGGAAGACGCCGTGAAGATTGTTTGAAGAAACAACAAACAGACTAACTGACTTCCTCTTAGCCGCACGCTGGATGTGACAGATGGAGTATTATCCATCAAGAGAGATCAACACTGACACGCTTTTTTAAGAGTCATGACGAAAGATAGAGAGGTAACTAAACATAAAGAGAATAAGAGAAAAATATCAAATGCCCTTGGCAGGATTCGAACCCACGTCTTCGGTATTCTAGTCCGATGTGTTAACCACTACACTACAAGGACCAACGCTGGTAACGCAGCCAGAATATGAAATGTAGGGTAATAACTTATTACTACTATACTATGTCTAATCTTTGCGTACATATTTACGGTGTTCAACTTATCTATAGAGAAAAAATATTGCTCTGGGATCCTCACGATTACCCTACATTTCATATTCTGGCTGCGTTACCAGCGTTGGTCCTTGTAGTGTAGTGGTTAACACATCGGACTAGAATACCGAAGACGTGGGTTCGAATCCTGCCAAGGGCATTTGATATTTTTCTCTTATTCTCTCTACTTCATAATATACACACCGAACGCATAACTTATTACTACTAAACATAAAGAGACTGGGTGTGCTAGTTTTAAATGTGACTTCGGGCAAAAAATAATGTATACAGCTATCTAAAAAATGGTTGAATACTGAATACTGCGTACTGAGTGCATTCCAAAACCGAAGTGCATTGTGGGTCATAGTGCATTGTCTGAAGTAGGGTTAATAAAAGAAACAATATACTAACTACATGTGGTAGAGAGTTAATTACTGTATATTTACTTTTTATTTTAGATTTACGAGACGGACAATGCCCATTGGTCTTGGAATGCACTATTCAGCATGCAGTATTCAGTAATTCAACCTTTTTTGGAATAGCTGTATACGTGTACATATGTGTACCATGAAAAGAAACCGGGCAAGCTAGCATTAGCTAGTATTGTGCACGTGATAGCATCTGAGTATTAGTTTGGACTTTCGTGCCGCACACATGGCCGCGGGGACTTACTGCAATACTTACTGTCAGTGCGGCAAAAAATATTATTAAGAGAGAATTCTTTTCGTATTCAAGCAGTGCGCGCCAAAAACTATTTTCTTGAAGAAAGGCTGTCGTACAAGGCTAAAATCTCGTTATTCAGAAAGCTTAACTTGTTTGGAAGTGGAGATGACCGATGAAAGTGGAATCAAAGTGTTAACCCAAAGCAAAAATTTTATTCGAAAATGAGGTTTAGGCCTTCATTTGCTTATTTCCCATATATTTTCTATACAAAAAGCCTGACAAAGCAACATTCTAACACAAATGCAACAAAACATCTCTGTACAAGTGAAAATACCACTTCAAGCAGGCATTTTATCATAGTACATCAGTTTCTAACTGCTTAAGAAAGGTTTTGAGTGTTAACCCAAAACGAAAATTGGGATAAAAACTCATACGAAAGTCTAGTTTTTGGCGCTTTTTGCCATTATTGCTTGTTATTGAAAAAAATTCCTCTTAACGTTTTTAAAATAGCTTCAATGAGTCATAACCGCACTTGAAGCTAAGACAACAGGTTTGTTTGATGTTTGTTGAAGTAACATCAGACTGAATTGAACGTACCATAAACACACCAATGTTTGCAAGTAAAACACGAACATGCCGCTAAGTGTTACAGCACGTGTGCAGTGTACATTAGCTGTACAACAACAAAAGACAATCACCGCGAAAATTAGTCTTCTGGTCCCAAAAAAAGTGCTTAGTAATAAACTTTATATTATGTGTTTTTGGGTGTATTGCTTTGGTCCAGTTAATGCGCTGGGGAAACATGTATTTTTGGACAGTACAGGATTCATCTGGCCAAACATAAAAGCCCATAAAGATAAAATGACTCGTTGAGAATCATTGCAGTGATTACCTTAGGGCACAATAACGATCTTATCAGTACAAGATTTATTTTTGAATACAAGCCAAACCATAGCTTACCTCCATTTGATGTGATTTCTCGCAGTCTTTTCAACTAGGCCAATCCCTTCTAAGATGTTTGTGATATCGTAGATTCGTCTTTTTTGGACAGATAGTTCATCAGCTGCGTGATTTAGGTCAATCGCTCGATTGGGATCTCGACGTAAAATCTCGACAAATTTTTTAGTCAAGAGACCAAGAGAAGTATCATTGCGAGTCTTTTCGAGAATCTCTCGTAAAAGAGCAGGCGTCCAGTTAATGCTCATAGTAACTAGCAAAATAAAAATAAATAAGGTTTTGAGCAACTAAAATTCTCCACAACTAGTTTATCGTTTTACCAAGCTAAATTACCAGTGTATAACAGTCTTAATAACGTTTTGAAACCAAGGTGTTTATCCCGCAGCATAAACTTGAGCGAATGCAGTTGGCGGTAAGACGCGGAGAGTCCAGCCAGTGTTGCACGCTTATGTTATATGGATACTGGAATATAAGATATATATGGGACCCTTCTATTTTGAAAGTAATCATGTAGTTAGTAGTATCATCAAAAGATACTACAATTGAGACGGGCAGCTTGTGTTTATTCCCCTCAAAGGTCAACAAAAACATCGGTGGGAAAATTAGACTTGGTTAAATTAGAGGAGCACGTATTGTCAAAAGATGCGTAATAGTACTTATCAACGTTACTTATCATAGGTCACTAATAGGACAAATGTTGGACGTGATTCGCCATTTCAAATCAAATAGAAATAGTAATGTAAATGACGATGAAGATGTTATAACAATAATAACAATAGTCCTAAATAAGGCCTTCGCCGTCACTTCCAGCCGAAAAAATGGAAAAAAGCTCCTTAAACAAACGAAAAGATGCAGCGTGAACGTGTGATAAATACTACAGCGCTATACAGTCTCTCGTTTCCCGCTGTGCATCATTTAAGTAACACTTACATAACTGGGTAATCTAGCCTCCTTTGCAGCCGTTCTTAGGGTCATCACGCACTGTGGAAGGACGGAAAGCGATACGTGTGGACGAGAATGTCTTGTAAACGAAATTTCTCTTTTATCCTGATTCTAGTACGGGAGGACGGGGCATCAGGCAGGATTGTCGGGGTTACGCATATGTTTTCTACAATTTCTGTTAATTATGGCATGGATGCTGGGGATTGTAGGATTGTCTCCCGGTTCAACAGCCTATCCCAATTTGGAGGCATAATACTAATCTACTAACAATTCACACTCATGATTGTAAGCTGCACGGCTGCTATTATAACGCCTTAATACGCAGCCCGTAAAGTTCTCCACTGGTTATAAATGTAAAGCGCATTTGATATATTTGAAATGCGCTATAGAAGTAACCCATTATTATTATTATTGCAGGGTGCCAGCCTTAGAGTCAATTACAAAATAACTCCTATACAACTTGTGCGTGTTGAAAAAAGAATCGGCAAAAGTACAACCAGCTGATCTGAAAGTGACGTAGAAATGACGTCACTGCAAAACTGAGGTGTCATGAAACCTGTGACCACTGCAAAAAATAAAAACATGCCCGCTATTACAATAAAAATATATAACTCATTAATTATTGCGTCGCCTGGAAATCCATAATTTTAAAAGGAAAAGTGACACCTCAGATTTGCAAATTTTCTTGTTTCTGATTGGCTATCATTTTTCCTCAGATCAGCTGGCGGTGACGTCAATCTTTTATGCAGGGTTTTAACTGCGCTCTCCACTAGCAGCATGCATGCATAACCGATTATCATTCACGAGTTTGACAGCCTTTCTCGAAAAAATTGTGTGAACAAAGCCTTCATGATAAAATCTTTTGTAAAGAAAACAGAGATTTTCAAATGCGCTTTCTACTACAATGACCATGTTAGGACTCGTACACGGCATGCCTCGAAAAGATGGAAACGCTACTGAGACCCCGTCCACACGTATCCGGAAATTTATATATCCGCAAATTTTTTTTACGGATACGGGTTGCGTCCACACGTGTCCGGAAATTTTTGTGTCCGTATCCGCAAATTTTACGAAAACGGATACGTGTGGACGGTGAAAAAATAATTTGCGGATACATAAATTTCCGGATACGTGTGGAGTAATTGTAAAGACTCGTTTGCTCGGGCTTAGCCACAAATCAATGTCTAAATATTCACAAATACTAACTTACTCGAAACTGGAGTGATACTAACGAAGCTGGTCAGCTTTGATCCGTACTCGTGCATCAATGCACGCAATACTTGTCAATTTACTAAGAAAAACGGCCGGCGGACGTCAAGCAACATCTGACATTTTATGTATGTAGTCGGTAAAGTCATGGGATACCGCGATTGATTACTCTGCCATTAACTAGAAGTGTTTAAAGTGCATACACGTTAAGTTTAAGGAGTAAGGGCTGTGTGCCGATAAATGTTCCATACAAGAAAGAAAGTCACGAAGAAAGACACGACTATTCACATTTGATTTTGACTATGTTTTCGACAGATAAAAGCTTAGGTCAATTCCTGCAGTCAAAATGCCTTGCAGCCAAAACCTGTCAACTCTACTTTACTAAAAAAGAATTTGATTCTCAGACGAATTAAATAGACCTATTCTTTTCAGGCGTAATGTTTCCCCATTTTTCTAGGAAAAAGGTTTGTTGTTTGTGTAAAATTTATATTATGTTCTCCTCAAGCTTAACCGAGTGATACTTGACGTCTCTGGGTTTCCTACCTTCAGGCAACCCAACACGCCAAATTCCAATTCGATCTGTGAGTTAGTTTAACCTAGCAGGTTTATTCAAATAAAGTAAATATACATTGCAAATATACACCACTGACCTGCATTTAGTAAAAACTAATCGAGG